GAACCTTTCCTTTAGACTTCAGGCCTTTGATAAGCTACAAGACTCTTGCCACTTTGCTTGGTTGGTTGGACTTAGGACACCTGTTTCCTACTTCTCCTTACCTTTATGAATCTCTTGGATTCTAGATTCCACTTTCCCACTTGTTTTCTAGTGTTTAAATATGACTACCAGTAATACATATCTATGTTACTGAATATTTACTATCTCATGTACCATACTTAATACTTTACATATATTTACTCTTTTATCTGCACCAAAGTCATACACTGATGTTGATACTTGATTATGTCCATTATATAGATGAGAAAATGGAGGCTCAAAGAGGTTAAACAGCTTACTAACAAAGCACCCCTGTTTAGTAAATACTATGGCCAGGAATAAACCCAGGAAGCGAGATGCCAGTATCCACCTTCCAGGCTTTTAATTCGTGGATGTGAATTGCCATGCTGCCTAGACCTGGCCGAGGTCTACCAGACTCCTGGAACCATAGCTCTGGCTTCTGCAGGCTGGCTCCTATCATAGAGTCCTGCCCCTCCCAGCACCACTGGGCCCCTCTGGTCCAAAATAGGGGAGGCTGCCGCTCTCTCCCCACCTTGACAGAAATCAGAAATGGAGACTATCCAACGACAGGGTCAAGGAAATTCCTATCTGCCTTCTGGGGTGGTCTAGCTTTCGGGTGGACCCATAGAATACTTTCTTCGGGTATTTTTTTAAACAAGTCTTTCTGACAGGTGGTAGCTCTGGAGCTACAGTTTGAAATGAATTTGGGAAAGAGGAGTAGACAAGTCAGACATCTCGTAAGCCCACGAGACACGGTCTTTCCTAAAAGCACCTGTTAGGCATCACCAAGTGAAACTCCAGAGCTGCATTAATAACAGTGAGAAGGAAAGGAGAGCAACTTCAAACAAGCCATATATGGCATCTGACTTTCAACAATGAACGGTCCTGCTTCCTGTTGGTCGGCGACCCTGAGCAGCTCACACAGCACAGCGGTGGGAAAACGCCGAGTACACAACAACAAACCGAGGAATAAACAGAGCCCAGGTTTTTTTCTTTCTTCTTTAAACCAACACACGTGGCTTGGTAGATTGTGGTGTTTTATTTATATCACTATGCAACGGAGGGGAAAAAAAAAAAAGGTGATCGCAGTGAAAGGCATGGGACCATGCCATGCTATCTGACTGTAATGTCCGAATTTAGACATGACAGATATTGGGAGGGGTTTCATGTTAGACATCAGCCATGAAAAGAGAAATTAATTTAGTGGGGCTTGGGGCCAGGCTTTACTTTTGTTTTGTTAAAATTCAATGGTGAGCACAGTCAGCAGCCCTGGGCCGGGGAGTGCTCTGCTGGCTCTGGCAGGCTCTAGCTGAATGTTTATAAAACCAGGAGCACAGCCTAGGGAAACTTCACCCAGCTGCCAGAAGGAGGTTGCGAATCGATTTGCAGATCACAAAACATACCCCACCCAGCCTCTGCGTCTGCCTTCTGGTGAGTTCCTGACAGGAAAGGAAATGGTGTCACCCAGGGGGACCCCAGACCTCAGAAGGACAGGCACACAAGCATCTAAGAGTGTGTAAATAGAACGCCTGAAGTCATGGCGAATGCCTGTCCTTCCAGGAAAACTGTCCCCTGCCCTCTCCCCCTTCCCCAAACTTCCCACAAACCCTCTAACCAGGAAAAAAAACAACTTCAAAAACTAGGGTGGGGCTTTCCTGGAATCAGGTTCCCTCAGTTACAGCGAAGGTACACATCTAGACAATTTATCCCAAACAATCGCTTTCCTCTAAATAATTAGGAGCCTGTTTCAGGTCGCCCCTTTCCCTTTGGTTGTACAGTTATAGACATGGGAGAGCTGTCTGTGACTGCTGCTGGTCCCTGGTCCCCATTCCCCATGGAACTGAGAGTGAGGAAGGCCCCATATTCTCCTCCTGGGCCCAATCTGTACAAAGAACAAACCGACAGGGAATGAGCAGGAAGAGACAGGCTCAGTCCTCCAGATAAAGTTGACAATTGATTACCTTTGCAAATCGGGAAGGCCATTTGTATCCAGTTCCCTAACCTGTAGATTCATCAATTCTTTCTACAGATGTTTATGGAATGTCTTCTATAAGCTGGGTACTATTAGGCGCTGGAGATATATCCATGAACAAGACAGAAAAAGATTCCTGCTCTCAGAGTATTCTAAGTCCTAGTGGGGAAAATCCACAAGTACAAACTGAGAAGCCAGTGTGTAGTCATCCTAAAGCAAAGACAAGCTGTAAGTTACTTGGCAAAGATATAGACTATTCCCCGATACTAAGGGACTGTGGGGAAAGAGCGCTAACTTTTATTAAATGCTTTCTATGTGCCAGGCACTTAATAATAAAAGTAATAATTAAAAAAATTTGAGCACTTACTACATACTGGGCTCACAGGAAGGTGAAGTCAGATACTTTACATATTTCCTTTGAATCCTCTCAGCAACTCTTTTACCTCAATTGTTCAGCTGAGAAAACAGGGCTAGAAGTAAAGGTAATTTGCTCAAGCACACTCTGCTTGCGGTCTCTGCACTTGAGCCTGATCCTTTTGTCAGCTGGTGGTCACACTCACCCTTGCTCTGTTCCTCTGCCCGTGGGTGGTGTGTCACCCCCCTCACCCTTGTCCACCTCCATCCTACCAGTCCTTCAATCTTCAGCTTAAACGTCCCCTTCTTCGGGACAACTGTCCCAACTCCTCACTATTGCTGGGAACTCCTTAATTAGGTCGAATATATAAAAGGTCATGCCTAACCCCAGCGGCTAATACATGATAGGCACTCTAACATTGCTTTGTTCCTACTTCCCTTCCTTCCTGTGTTTAGAGCCAGAGGTGTGAAATTTGTCACTTGATTATATGCTGTTGTTTTTTGTTTGTTGTTGTTCTATATTCATTGGTCATTTCCTCAACTAGATTAGCAGCTTAGGGAACAGTATTTTTAATTTATAAATTATATATATATACTTTTGTCAATATAAATTATGTATATTTATTTATATTTACATATATAAATTATTTTTACAGTTCTTGTGCATTGATTCTTTAACAGAGTGGTTCTCAAACTTGAGCAGGCATAAGCATTTCCTGGACTTGTTTAAATAGATTGCTGGGTCCCTCCTCCAGAATTTCTGATTCAGCAGGCCTGTGATGGGGCTGAGAATGTGCGTCTCTGGCAAGTTCCCAGGAGGTGCTGATGCTACTGGCCCAGGACTCACACTTTGAGAACCACTGGTTAACTACATGTACCACAGTGCTTAGGAGCATGAAGGCTGAGTCTGAGTCCCACCTCTGCCACTCATTAGCTGTGTGACCTTGGGCAAGTGGACCTATTTGAGCCTCAGTTTTTCCTTATTTGTAAGAATGGGGATAATAACAGTATGCACCTCAGGATTGTTGTGAGGATTAAGTTAATAATGAATGCAGTGTGCATAGCACTGTCCCTGACACACTGAAAATGCTCAATAAATGTTGCCTATTATCTTGGAAAGGCTGGCACAGCATCAGGCACTAAATAAGCACTGTACCCAGCCTAAGAATTCCTTCTCAGACTTCGATAAAACCTCTTTTGAATTTGTAAGCAGTGAGAGTGAAGAGTGTCACTAAAGCATGACATTTATAATTAACAGCTTTTGAAATTAAGCCAGACTATTCAAAAGCACAACATAAAGGGCCTTTAGAAATGCCCTTCCCGATAGTATGCTGGATGTAAATGCCCAAGCGTACAAAAGCCATGTGTATTTTTAAAATTCAGGGCTGTCTATGGGGTACCTCCTTCACACCTTCCCCTGCTGCAGGATGCTGAGGATGGCAACTTGACCTCTGAGAGCTTGGAATTGCTGGAGTCACCCAGGCATCTGGGCTAATGGGTTGGCAGACACAAGCAGAGACCATCCTTCAATAATTAATTAGTTGGAGTCACGGGAAAACAAACTCCCCAGAGCAGATAAGACAAACAGCAACCTCCTCTATCCTAGTTATTTTCAAGCACCCAGCCCCCTTGCTGCTCCCTCCCAGCTTTAAGAACTTCTTCACCCAATGCAAGATCTGTATTTTCCTTCAGGGTCTGTCTGAGCAGTTATAGTGACTGACATTCCCTTGAGGAAGCCCAAGAGGAAATGTGCAGACAAGACAATTTTCAGACCTTGTCTCCCAGTCCTTCAGGGCCTGAGGCAGAATATCCAGGAATCTAGGGATGGTCTAGCCCTAATCTTGTCCCAGTAATACAGGAGACAAGGGTCATGGCCCTATCAGCCGGTGAACCACTAATCCTGGGAATGTTGTTCATTCAACGCAAAGTTGAATGAGATCATCTCTGGGAGCAGTAGGATTTAGCAAAGGCTTTGAGCTGGGGTTTGTGGGGAGGTGCTGCTGCCCCTTGCAAGCCCCTCCCTTCCGCCCATTCCCTCACAGAAGAGCACCACCGCCTCCTTCCATCCAGCGGTACCCTCCCCTAATGCCCAGAAAAAGGCTGAACCCCCACCAATACCACTTCCACTGCTACCCCCAATTTCCTACACAAGCCCGCCACAGCCAGGTGATGTCTCCGCACACTCCGGATGGGGCACCACCTCTGGCAGTCCCGGCGCCCTGGCGGGCCCCTGCTCCAGCGGAAAGACAGAGCGAGAAGGGGGTGTGTGCGCAGAGAAGCTGGTGGCCCCGCACCTGGTGTTACCAGACTCCAGATGAAAACCGAGGCAGAGAGGTTCCTCAAAGGGAAGAGCCGCACGGGGTCTCCCCGCTTTTCACCATTTCTCATTGCTCAATCTCTCTCTCTGTCGGTTCTCTCCCCCTCCATCTTTCCCTCCCTCCCCCCCTCCCCACCCCGCCCGCTTTGTCTGCCTTTTTCTTCCCTCCGTCTTTTTGAACACCCTGCCTTCAGGAGCCCGGCTCGGAAGCCGCAGCGGTCAGCTCCCCGGGGCCCCCTGCCCTGCGTCCCCGCCCAGCCCCCTCCCCTGCCCGGCCCTTTCCGCTCCGGGTCTCACCCAGAAGAGCAGGTTGAAGCCGAGCAGCAGGTACTTGATGCACCGCAGGGCCCCGCCGAAGCGCCCCATGCTGCGGCCCCGGCGGCGGGATCCCGAGTCCCCAGGCCCGGACTCGGAGCTCCGGCAGCGCCGGGAGCCGGCGGGGAGGGGGCGGAGCGCGAGGGGCCTTGGGCGGGGCCGGCGGGGGGGCGGGGGGGCGGGGCTGGAGCCGGCACAGGGTGAGAGAGGGCCGGGGAGGACCCCGAGCCAAGAGGCTGGCGATGGGTGGGAGCGCCGCTGGGTGGGGGTCGAGCGGCCAGAAGGAGCAGGTACCCCGCTCACCTCCGGAACGAGAGGCCGCCTCCTTCCCTCCCCAGGCCGGGCGACGAGCCCCGCAGGCACCCCTCTCGCGGTGGTTATCGGAGCATCTGCGAGGAAGGAGCGTCCACTGGGGACCCGAGACTCATTTAATCAGAGCTCTGTGCAAAGACTCATTTGAGGCCTGCGGTGATGGTTGAGAATAAGGACACGGCCCTGGTGGCTATGGAAACTAGGAAGATGGCCTCGGGTAGAAGAGATAAGTAGGACCCAAAGCCGCCCAGAAGCTGGCAGTACCCGTCGCGGGACACCCGGCCCGGGGCATCCGGTCCCAGGTTGTGATTCCCCAGCGCCTTGCGAGCGCACAGGCCGCGGAAGCAGCTTCTAGGGGACCCTCCCTCGGCCCCTTCCGCGCGACTCCAACTCTTACCTTAATAGGCAAGAACTGGGAGAAGAAGGCGTGGGATGCGGCTTCCCTGCGCCCAGAAGACTGCGACCCATCCTGCTCGGCCTGGCCATTGGAGGGGAGTCAGACACTCCGGGTCCTGCTGTATTCGACTGATGGGAGAGCTTGGAAAGGAATCCAAATCCTCGGGGATTATTGTGATGTGGAAATGGGAGCAAAGGGGGGAAGGTTTTGTTTCGCTTTATTTTATTAAGTTAGGGGTCTGGTGGGGAAACCAGGCTCCCACTCCGAATGACTAAGTGTCTGCAACATGTGGTGCCAGGCAGTACGGGGGCGACAAGAAAGTGTAAAATCCAGGGAGCCTATGCATTAATTCAGTAAAACTTTAAGTGCCCGTTATAGGCCAGGGATAGTAGCAAGCCTCAGGGACTCGACAACGAGGAGACAGCCAGGCCTGCTGCAACTGGCTCTGGTGGTAGAGACAGATCTATGAGCAAATTATAGCAAGGTGAGGATGTGGGGCAAGGTTCTGGTAAGCACCGCCTGCCCTCTTGGCACTGGGCAGGGAAGGCTTTGCTGAGGACAGTGGGCCTGAGCGAGTCCTGAACGAGTCTGAGCAGAAGGGAAGAGCAGACGGGGCCGCAGGTGCCAAAGCACAGGGCTGGAGAAGCCAGGGGCTCCTGGGGGGCCTGTGAGAAGGGGAGCAGCCCAAGTGGAGCAGAGGGAGGTGAGTGGAGAAGGTGCTAGGGCACAGCTTTCAGTCAGCTCACAAAAGTGCCAAGCTGTCCTGGGGCCTCAGTTTCCTCATCTGCAACATGGAGGTACTAGTACATACCTCGTGGAGTTGTGCAGGTTAATGAGTTAATATTTGTAAAGTACCTAGAACAGTGTCTGGCACAGAGTAAGTAAGTACAATATAAGGGTTAGCTATCACTGTGTTGTACTCTACCAGTCAGTTTCCACCATGTTGCCGTCTTTACCATCTGTGTCTTTGGACACTTGTTTGAATATCTCATGAATTTTAACTTATGAAAATGAAGAGAAGACAGAAAAATGAATGTGTGGATTCTGGTAATAAGTATAAGCCCCAAATAGTGAAATAGAGGCAGAGATGGAAGTCATTAGGAATGCAGAAAGAGGCACATCTTTAGTTTCAGTCAAACACTTATTGTCCTCTCTGATCTATCCAAAAAGAAAAGAACTAAAGAATAGTGTCCAGTACATGGTAGGCGTTCAGTAAATCTCTGAACTAAATGAACAACAATGCTATGATACTTTAAATATATTGTTGAATTTTATGTCTCTAAGACAAAATACATTCTCGACCCTCTGGGAACAGAACCCCTATTATAAATCTATTATTCTTTCACACTACAATTTTAGCACACATGCATTAGAGACAGAGGGTTGCCTGCCTAACGTAACAGATATAGATTTTGAGTGTAGACTTCCCCAGCCACCCACCCTCCAACAAAGCTGTGCCTTAGGGGAGCTGACCCTTGACAGGACTAGGACATCCTAACTGATAACACGTGTTCAAGAGTACATCATTATATGAAAGTAGGAGACTACATTAAATTAAATAAGGAAGTTAGCCTTTAAACTAGACATGATGCAAAGCCAGAGACAGGAGCTAAAGCAGGGCATAAGATGGTTAGACTTCTATTTTTAGTCAAATTGGGGCTGCATGGAGGATGCTTTGAAGTTAAGGCTTGAGACTAATTAAGAGACTACTATGGCAGTTCAGGTAAGAAATGAGAACCTGAACCAAGACAGTGGCAATGGGTTTAGGAAGGAGGCTCAGATTTCAGAGGTATTCAAAAGCTTGATGAAAGATCAAGACAGATTGGATATAGGGATAGGAGGAGAAACAGAGGGAATGATGACTCCTGGGTTTCTTACTTGGGTGAGTAACCAGGCAGATCGTGGAACCATTAACACAGATAGAGCTTATAGACGATGGAGCAGGTTTTGGGGAGAATGTTACAGATACTGTAGGTGGGCTCACCTGTCACCCAATCCTATGTCCAATTTAGAGGCTAGGAAGGTTAAGTACTTGCTTCCTGGTATCCTTTGCAGGTAGGGGTGGTAGTAGGACACAGTTCTGATTAATGGGATTTATGTGGAAGTCTGTTGGGAGGTTTCTGGAAAACCTGAAATTGTCTTGGTAAATGGTTCAGTTGTGGGACTTCCCTGGTGGTGCAGTGGTTAAGAATCTGCCTGCCAATGCAGGGGACACAGGTTTGAGCGCTCGTCCAGGAAGATCCCACATGCTGCAGAGCAACTAAGCCTGTGTGCCACAACTACTGAGCCTGTGCTCTAGAACCCGCGAGCTACAACTACTGAGCCCACGCGCCACAGCCACTAAAGTCCGTGAGCCTAGAGCCCGTGCTCCACAACAAGAAAAACCACCACAATGAGAAGCCCATGCACTGCAATGAAGGGTGGACCCTGCTCACCGCGACTAGAGAAAGCCTGTGTGCAGCAATGAAGACCCAACGCAGCCAAAAATAATAAATAAATAAATAAATTTATTTATTTAAAAAAAAAAAGATTCAATTGTCACTGGCATTGCTTCCTTCCCTCTTTTCCTGTCTTGAACTCAGGCATGATGCCTAGAGCTGTAGAACATTTTGTGACTATGAGGAAAGGCCAAGAGAATTGCAGACCTGCCAGCCAGGATATCATTGAACTGCTGAACCAACACCAGCAGGCACCTATCTCCAGGTTTCTTGTTATGTAGGAAAAATAACCCTCATTTTGTTTGACACTTAAATTCTGTTACTTTTAGCTGATGATATTTTAACTGACATGTGAAGACAATAAATTCATGTTTAGATCTGTTGAGTTTTAAATGTGATGGGAAATCCAGATAATGTGTCCAGGAGACAAATGGAAATATGATTGAGATTCTGGGGAGAGGTTTGGACTGTAAGTTTAAGTTAAAGATTCATCAGCAAATGTTGATAATAGAAACCAGTGGTCTCCAAACTTTTGCTCACATGTTCCCTAAAAGAATTATGAAAAAATATGTTCTCCCTTGCACATTTCCCCCAATATTTTATTATGAATATTTTCAGGCATACAAAAAAGTTGAAAGAATTGAGCAGTGAACACCATATACTCACCACCTAGATTCTACTATAGCTGATTCACTTTGTTATAAAGCAGAAACTAACACACCATTGTAAAGCAATCATACTCCAATAAAGATGTTATAAAAAGTATTCCAATCAGAAATTTTATCATGATTTACAAGAATCAATATCTAGTGATGTATAACATTTTTGTATATTTCTATTTTTGTGACATACTGTCGGTAAGGCATATGTCAGTCAAGCACACCCATACGTAACTTATTTCCAGTTTATTAAAAGTCATATAATTCCATCTGCATCCTCAAATTACCCTTAAGGCATTTTAGTAGCATAGTACACCCAAAAATGTAATATACCAGCATTTTTACTCATAACAAATCAGATTTAATATTATACTTTATCAGATTCAATCTTCAGTTTGTATCATTGCAGATATTATTCTAATTTAAGAAATAAGCTGCATTTAAAATTTTAAAATTCACACCAACTGTCATCTCCGTTTAGCAAATGTCTGTTTACGTCAAAGAATATAGAAAGCCTTCTTCAAGTAGCCCTTATGGTGAAAATCATAGTTTTTTGGAACTACAACAAATAGTTTGAATAAAAACGTTTGAACTTAAAAAAATTTTTTTTTACTTTAGTTACATTACTTACCTCTTCATCTGTCCATTTATCAGCCTATCTTATTTTTTATGCATTTCCAGATGAATTTTAGACAATATATTTTACCCCTAAACTCTTCAGAATGAATAACGTAACTAGAGTTCAAATATTTGCTTATTGTCTTTCTTTTTTTGGATAAAATTTATCTGAATGAAATGTTCACATTTTAAGCATACCTTTGATGATTTTTGACAAATACTTTTGCCTTTCTAACTCCAAACCGTATTAAGGCATAGGACATTACTATCACCACTGAAAAGTTCCCTTGTACCTTTTCCCAGTCAATCCATGACCCCACCTCTCCTAAAGAAAACTACTGTTTTGATTTTTTTTTTTACTATAGATTAGTTTTTCCTGTTACACAATATTATATAAATGGAATTGTACAGTATTTACCCTCACACGTGGTTGACATATAAAATTATTTATTATAAGTTTGAGTATATGCAAAAGATGTCATTTCTGATGTATTTCAAATTTTGACATTTTAAAAGAAAATGGTCACATCCCTCATTTTAATGCATTCAATAGAAACTAAATACCAGTGTGATCGGCTACCAACCATCGTCCATTTTTTTTTAATCAGATTTGATATCTGAAATGACAACATGAAATTTTTGATCAAGACTTGTAGATGATGGTATCTTCAATTTTTAAACATTCCTC